TCCAATTTGCTTTAGAGCAGTGGTCACTCAAAACATCTTAATTGGGATAGACCTTGTTATTGAGTGAGCGATTCAAAAATCGCTGAAGGCGTATGTCAGCGAGTTACCTAATCTGGTACTTTTGGATATGTCTAACAGAAATAGCATAGCCGGCGCTAATATGTGACCCCTAATACCCGGGATTAATTACTATCTCATGTAGTGATTTTACTTTCTTGGGCAAACAGAGCCAAGGGTAACGAGGGAAATACACACTATCCCAACCTCAATGGGCGATATCAGAGCCAGACTGAAGGAATATACAAGTTTGGAGAACTCGTCTTTCCAAATAAGTGTAAACTTAGAGAGACAAGGGTACCTAAGTAAAAGGAAAGGCAGAACAGAGTACGCCATCGAGAGCTTGCTCGTAAGTATATGCAACTGGCCAACACGAATAACAAGTCTCTAAAACTCATTAAAAATATAACAAGTTATGGGTAGACGGACAAAATAAAAACTGGGTAGGTTCTACACAAGCGGTGTACAAAACGTTGGGAAGCTACTACAGATTTCGGAGGTGATAACACTGGAAGAGATGGCTATCCGTCTTGAAGAACTGGAGGAATGCGCTACCAGGAGAGGGAGGTTAGAGCGGTTACGGCGACCCGGCGTCTGGAAGGCGATGCTGTCGCCAGGCACGCTTCTTGGCATTTGCGGCTACGGCATTGTCCACGATAGTATCCATCATAGCCTCCGTTAGGGTTCCATCTTCGCTTGAGTATGCAGCAGTCTACAAAGGTGCGAATTAAAACGCAATAAACAGTCCAGGATTCGATGAATAGTTAGAGCTATATTAGTTATTTCTTTTGGCCATGAAATGAAACGGGTAAACCACAAGTATTCACTGGGGCAGATAATATGCCTAAAGTACCACGACATTGACTGGGACTGACTGAAATCTTGGATCTGAAGTCGAAAACGTCAACAAAATATTAATCACATTGTTCTGGCGATAACAAGAAGAATCCTTTTCTGACATTACAAACGCTAGCAGACCAAACGTAAAATTATACCCCAAGTACGTTCGAGCACTTTCAAGATGGAATGATTAAAATATTTCGGATGAATGGTAAGCAAAGCTTGGAATGTTAACGATAACGCACCTGCCATGCGACCGCAATCTTGGAGAGTTCGCGGCCGGACAAGCCGGGGGTACGCTTAGCCACACCAACACACTTTGCTGTGTAGTCGATGCCATCGGCCAATCTGATTCGCTGTCGTTTGTCCATTGAGGGTTGCAAGATGAACAAGTCGAAGTAATGGCGAATCATACGTTCGCGCTCCTGCTCCTTGGGTAAGTCGAAGTATACAAGTTCGTCCATTCGGTCGTTTATAGCCCAGTCAAACTGCTCCGGTTGATTACTCGCAAGCACGAGCATGAACCTGGAAGAGAAAATGGTGTTGTACTGGCAAAACCGTTAACAATTTTAGTATTCAAAGGAAATGTATGCCAAGTCTGTTTTAATGGGGGAGCCAAAACCCAAAAAATGAGGTATCTTACAACGGCCTTAAAAAGAAAGGTTACTTTATCTGGTACACGCCCGACACTAGAATTTTCAAAAATCCACGGATAGGTTCTTGTGTGGAGCAAATTACCCCACACGTTCAATAATATTTCCTAACAAGTCTGGGGCAATATACGACGGTCTACACTGTCCAAAAAATAAATAGTCAGAAATAGAGGATTTTTATGAGCTATACATGTTTTTTGAGTTAAAACCTCAGCCAGAAACAGTCCTGCTGGATAGGTATTTAGCCTTCCGTAGAAAGTAGCTGTCATGCTGGGTACAAGGAATGTCATCCACCACAGGCTCGGCTTTCGCATACTTCTAGTATCCTTCATTGAAACGAGCAATCAGTGGTTGGACTGAAATAGTCAATGACCCTGCAATAACATAGTGACTAGAACAGTGGTCATAAGCGGTGGCGGTATCAACCGTCACTTTAGAAGCCATTCGAAAAACAATAGTTTGTCAACATATTGCTAATAATTTGGGACGCCGGAAGGGAGTCCGAAGTGCTTTGAAACCAATGATTCTCTCACCCGCATTCTACAGCTCTAATAATAGAAAATCTGGTTTTAGTTTTGAAAATTGGGAGGGGGTTCTTGGGATAAAAATAGCCACCATTGGCAGTAGTGTGCAAAGATGAAGCCAGGGAAATATTTAAATTGTCAGAAGTTAAGCCCTTGCCTGGGCTAAAAAAGTGTGATTTTTTTTTAAATTAAGTAAGTTCAACTTACTTATGGGACTGCTCACCCGTGCGGTACAGAAAGGCGTTCAAGGTAGCTCTCATTCCCTCACTGATGCGCTCTTGTTCGCGTTTACGAAGAAAGGCGTCAGCTTCATCGACAAACAGAAGAACCCTAAAATCAGGCGTACCGATGAAAACTACGGTAAGAAAATCACCCAATATAACCGTTTAGTCAGTAAAAGTCTCACCCTCTGCGGCTGGTCTGGGCCCAGTTAAAGACCTTGTGCACGGCGGTGACACCGTCGCTACCCATGGGCGCAATATCACCACCGGTCAATATGGCATAGTCCAGGCCGGAATGCGTGGCTAAACTCTGAGGGAACAAAACCAAAAATTATAAATAATTCCGTCGCAATGCATTACATAACTGTGCTTGGGAAATTGAAAACATATGGCCTACCATCATTAACTTTGAAATTTTGTGGTTTTAATGTGCAGTGCCAATCATACAAGGTATAAGGAAGACCCTATATACTATTTTAATTACGATTTATGCTTCACAAACCGAACTAATTCAATATCGTTACTGTTTTCGACGAAAGCCGCGCTACGGATTCGCATTCGTAATTAAGGTCCGTATTGCGTACGCAGCTAAAACAGGAACCCATATGTGAATCTGAATAGACGGGTGGCTGCCACACATTAAATTAATCAGTATGGGCAGAGAGAATTAACATTTGGTAAGATTGGGTTGCAGGACAATTAAATTTGCTCCCTGAAGATACGACGAAAGTGAAGATTGTAAGGCAACCCATTTATAATAGGACGGTCATTCTGGAACCATTGTCCTCAGAAAAATAACTGGCAAGTCTGACACAAAATTTAAGGCAAGGTTACAGCTTAAAAACAGAAGCGATGTGGGTAGAACAGTTGAATGCAAATGAGAAAAATTGTGAGTGGCATGTGGAAGCTTGTATACTTGAGCAGCTGGCACGTATATATGGTATACTTAAGGCTACTTCATCTGAGATATCTTTCTAGTT